CTCCCGCCCCGTCTCAGCCCAGCGCCGGCCGCTAGGAGCAGCACTGTCGCGCGCCGCCGATACTCCGCGATCAGGCTCGCACAGTGCTTGGTCTGGGATGCGGGTGGTCTTGGTCGTGAAATCACAACGATAAGCTAGTTTTTGAGTTATTAGTCGGTAATTACCGATGCTACGAGGGGTGCGATGCGCGCTAGCCGGCGCTGTGGAGACCGTTTGGTGTGTCCGATCGAACAACCAAGGGTATCTTCCGGTTGGTCAGACCTTCCCCGACACACATGTCAATGACCCAGATCTATAGCTCAAACCGTTCGTCCGTTAGACGTTTGGGGAGGCAGGCGCGCAGGGCCCCGGGACGATAAAGCTTCTACTCCATACCGCTTTACTCCATGACTCAACGCTCAGTGGCTAAGTTCTCGGACCCGTCACCAGGGTAGTCACGGAACTGGTGGTGGCAGGTCTGCGAACTTCGTCCGCGTTAGCCAGCCAATCGAATAAGAGTCAAGTAGGAAAGCAGGATCAGGAGGTGGCGGTACCCGAAGTGTGGCCTCTGCGCGCGACCTGGATGTCGGCAAGGAAGCTGGTGTCTGTGCACAGGAGGGCTGCTGCCGACCTGGTCAAGAGGGCTACCACACCGGGGGCAGGACCCATGGCCGGCGCATGTCTACGCTTTGTGGCGCGGAAGCGGCTTCCTCAGCCCCGCCGGCCAAGCATCGATCTTACGACTTGCCATGATAGGAAATGGAAGAGAACGTAATTGTCTGGGCAGTCCCACTCTGCATCTATTGCTGCAGGTGACGTACCCGGTAACTATAGAAGTGTAATTAATTAACTAAAGGTCGGTCCCAAACTGGGACAGCACTAGTTTTTTGATATTCTTCTAACCGCGGAAAGAACATTTTTTATTTAAAAAAATGTGTTTCCGGTACGATAATTTTTAATGAAAACTCTAGACGTTGACATAGTTTAATTTATTTTAAAAGTATTTGTAGCCTGTTATTCTTGTCTATTCTTTAAAACTACTCATTCGTTTCGTTCCATCCACGGAGAGTGAATAACAGAATTGTAATAATTATTCTAAGTAGCCCTTTTCTACTTTGTAGTCCCCAGTTCGGTTGTGCAACAGGTGTCCCCTCTAAAATCTCCTCCCCGCACTTGTGCTCCTTCTGGAGATTGCAGTGTCATGTCATGTTACCGTTACCTATCTGTATGACGGCTTGACGTTTAGACGTGTGGGGGATAAAACTTCGGTGTTCTTATTTTTTTTACTGATTAGATCTTTAACTTTACTTAAAGGCATAGTCAGACCATTTGATATCTCAGCCGCCTTCAGAGACAAAAGAAGTCAACTTGCAACTCCACTTAAATGTGCGCTAAATATTTTGTTTAGAACCCTAATACATGGGGATATCGCATAGCTCTATCCCGAGCGCAGGTTTTGCCGAGCCATTGGTGCGCAAGCTCCCCGAAGAACACAACAGTGGCCAGGGTGAGACCGGCCAAGAGGAGGCCGAGGACGCCGATGATGAGGATAAAGTCGTCGTCATGCCGCGGTTGCTCGCGTGTCTTGTGCGCCATCTGTGGATCAACGTAAGACCTCAAGCACTTGTCATACAGAACCAGCGGTACATACATCATTACTTTGTTGCGAGGGTAGAGGGCTTACAACATTTGTCAACTCTCTGTTGAGAGCGTCAAGCGTCTTGATGATAAAACCGAACTCTCGTGTCTTTCCCAACGCCAGGTCGATCTGGTCGCGGACAACCGAGTCTTTGTTGACTAGGAAGCTTACAAAGTACGTGGCGAGCTTCTCTCTTTTGACTAGAAGCTTTCGAAGGGAAGAGTCCAGAAAGAACTGCGGCGTCGCGCTCCTGCGAGAAGCGAGGATCAAGACCCAATACATTTACATGCAACATGCGTGACTCTAAACGTACCACATGGACATTTCCGACATGACAAGCGCCATGTTCTCAGGGTCTCTCCTGATCTCTTCAGAGCAGTTGTGGTACGTGTGGCAGAACTCAATTTGTATGTGCTTGACCCGCACGCCTGGGTGCTCCTCCTTCAGAAGGAACGTGACGACCTCGATCAGGAAGCCTATTCTCTGCAAGCATACGAAGTTCTTGTCTGAGCAGGACAGGGTTCGGCGAGATGGTGCCCGCTTACCTTTACGTCCAGGATGCTCTTGGGACCTGGTGTGCCCATGGGGTTGATGGAGGCCATGGCTAGGCTAGCGCGGTAGCCTGAATTGAAGTGCATGCAAAAGACGGTCCACAGGAAGACCAGTCCCACGAACTGCTTGGTTCTCGAGGTCATCTTGGGCTTCGGGTCGCCGTCGGAGAGGATGCTGTAGAGGATGATGGTGTTCTCGAGTCCACTGCCACCCCCCGCCACCCACAGCACCACAACTGCAAGAGAGTGGTTAGGGTAGTAACATCAGACTCTGTCAAACCAATAACTATCTGTACTTGAATCTAACTTTATTTTATACTT